TAAGAAATTACTGTGAAAAGTAAGCCCAATTGTTTGACAGCCCAACCATTTTACTAAATAAACTCTATCATTCATAAAGGGCACATATGAATAAACCATTTGATATTTCTAAATTCCGTGAACAAACTGGAGGGAATTTTATTAAAATTCTTTTATGATCTACTTCTCAGATACCAACTTAATTACGCTTTATCGATCCCCAACCGTTCCAATGTCGATTTGATGTGAACACCATAAAAATCCAATAAAAAAATGATTTATGCTAGACTAAACATGAATGGCAAACAGAGAGAAATAAGGCAAGGGACATATTTCATATCCGGTGTTACTTTCCTCCTCTAATGATCTTAAGGAGAAGAAAAATGCGGTTAAGACACCACGTTTTAGGCTAAGATTCCTTCTTATCTTAGTTTGGGTTACAAATAATGGTTGTCGTCTATCAGTTTGGGCCAGTGTGTTCTTAAAGTTAAGGTTAAAGTCATTGATAACATCTTTCTTGTTAAATGCTTTGTCAATAATGACTTTCGATATTACCAAGTGTGACAGTTTTAAAATCACCAAAGGCAATTAACTCCTCTTCTCAAAAATCACTCGCAAATCTTTTTAGAAGCGTCAGTAGTCTTTCTGGAACACATTGAAAAAAATGGATCAGAAATGATATGGTATTGTTTATGATCCAGTTTGATCACAACAAGCCACTCGATCCATCTGAGACAGATCTTAAACGAGTCATTCGATTTTCGCATGTTGTCAGAATTGGTCAGCCCGGAGATGAGGGCGCGACCACAACCCTGGCTTGCTTATCTGTTGGTAACCGATTGACAATCCGCTTGGCTCCTGGCTCGACAGAGGTGTCGAAAATATTCAAAAATAAAAATGTCCTATCCTATTTTGAAAGCCTGCTCTGCTTATCATTTGGTGCAGATTCATTATGCTAATGAAACATTATCCAAAAATAGACATACAATGCCATCACGACTCGACTTCACATGCAATAAGAAATGTGTGTGCCATATCTTAGGATTATGCGCTCTCGTTATTACGTTACCTACTTTTACTGGCCTTTATGAGATAACTTTAGAGAATTTAACCATATCTGACTTCAAGGATAATGGCTCACAGCGTTTTTAGCCAGAGAAAATGCACTTATAACTAATATAATCAACTGGATGTTAAAATTAACATTAAATGTCGAGGATGCCAAAGGTAGTAATCTACCTACGATAATTATTTGGTTCTAAAGCCTTGTCGTTTTTTTGTTTAAGTTAAGTAGACGGTGCCGTAATGAAAACGTCGCATACGAAAGATTGTACTTTTTAAACACATAACGGCGCAGACAAATGACAGAGCCCTGATAATGGGCGTCGACCTTCTTACCGTTATCTACTGATCCCTACAGGTAATATTGGCACTTGTCCACAGCTATACTTTCAGCATATCTCGGCAGTACTCCTCTTGTGATCATTTGCACATCGTCTTTCCAAACTTATATAAATTTGAAAAAGTGGACAGTCTCAAGTTATAACAAGCTTCCTTATAAGGGTGGCATATTGACGTCAAGAGTGCAACTAAAGGAGGAAGGTCCTAAATTACATGTGATCCCCGTTGATGTTAAAGCGATAATAATCTCACTAAAACAGGAAATGGAAACACCCTGGTGTGTGGATAAACTTTTCATTTTGTTTTCTTCAGGGATTATCCCTCAATCCCTTAATCGAGTCTTAAAAATAATTGCTTTAACTATGACCAATGAAGGATTTCTTCTCTTACACAAACACTTGAAGCCTGCTTTACATTTCTGGTTAAAAACCGAGAGAATCTGACCGGAAAGTGAAAGGACCGGAAGTGTATATGCAAAACAAGCAAAATGTTAGACCACTCACTGGTCAAGTACTGCTCTGGTCTGATAGGCTTCTATTGCACCAGATTGAAACTCAACAAATCGTTAATAACGCGAACTAAAAAAAAAAACTCTGCCACTTACGTGTTTCTTTTCATTTTCTTTTCCTTGTAGACATATGGTCAGACAGCTCCAACCTGGAAGGACTCAGCGACTTCTGCATTCACACCGAGGAGCCTTTTCTGAAAACTCTCCTCCGCAGTAGTTTTACTGATACGGACAGTTTCACTCAACCACTGTTGGAACTTACGGACCAACTGTAACTGTATGAATTCATAGAGGACCAGCCCAACGTATAGCATGGACGTTTTCCGGGAGTTTTTCCTGTGGATCGCCACTTTGTTTCTTAGGAATAAAATTTGGTGCGTAAGGTCACTAGAACAACGGCTGGGAAAAAATTCGTGAGACAAGGAAAAAATACATGTACACGCAGATTTTCTGCCTGGTCGGGATATCTAACGAGGAGATACACGATAGATGTTTGGCAGATGAATATTTCAAGAGATATTTTGAGTGAGTCCCAGTACGAACCGACATTTGTTCTGCAAAAATTTAAATCCGCTAAATTTTCATGCTACGCGTTACGTTTAAATACCTATGTCATTTTTAGTTTCATAGCGATACTCCTGTAATTGAGGGAAACCTTAAATTAATAGTTAGCTGTCGAAGACAATCTCCAAGAAACGTAAGAAGAGACTGTAAAGTAACCAAGATGACTGCATGTCATCAACACAGACCGCAAATTATTACGAATAATGACATTTTGAACATGTACAAATAGCTCTTCATGTCCACTAGAAAACAATACCAAGAATGAAAATATTTGTAGATATGTAACAAACATATGATCAATAATTAAAAGAGAAACTAGGCGTATAGTGTAGTGAAGTCGGCTCTTTTAAAGCAGTCGAGATAAATTCTATTTAGTTTGTATCAAACCCTAAATGTTTCGTGTAGGAACTACGACAACCTAAAAGTACTACATCACTATATGACAGATACGACATACTTCTAAAAGCTAAATGATAAATAATGAATGAATGAAAAATAATAAATATAGATGACCGACAGTGTGTTACATGATCAACATACTGTTTGACCAGCCCACAGACGCAGCAGTACGTTTTCTTTATAAACTAATAACCTTACATTTCAGAATTTGTTATCAAGGGAGGCAAAAGGAAAGAACAAATAATTTTTCGATCGAGCCCGTCTTTCTCAGTTTCTGGTCAGATGCTTTGTTATTAAACAAAAGAGAGCTTGTTGTGTAGGTTCATCCACTGGGTTCAGATGTGTCATGCGAGGATTGTAACAGGGTTTTTGTTTGAGTGGGAAACCCTCCCCTTGAAGAAAGAAATACTTTGTGTACACCAAAAAAAACCAATCTGGTCTCTTTCCCTCCCTCCCGTATTTAAGATTATCAATATAGCTAGGTTCTTATCTAAAGACAGATTTATTAAGATGGTGATTTTTGAAGGTGAATGATTGCTGTGCATACCCGTGTCAAGTGCAGCTGCACCTCAGTCTCAGAGGATCTGTGTATGAGCTTAGCTGTTGCTTCATGCAGGAACTCTGCGCATGCCATCTATGACTGTACCAGTCTCTTATTTTATACAACAAGAACGTATTACTTATAGAAGTTAGGTTGACCTCAGCAGCACCATACCACTAAAGCTAAATCGCGGGCCAATTTTTTTAAAAACATTAAGTTGCAGTTAAATTGTTGAAATGAACGTCACGCACACCTTTAACCTCGGTCACCTCCCAAGAGTTAGAATTCTAACTACATTCTGTTTGTAGGGTGATATTTCAGCTATTTCGCTAGAAGATAACCATATAAAATCGACAACCAGCTGCCCTGCCCTTATTAGCCAATTAAGGTGGTATGATACCTTCAAAAAGGGAAATTTTTTACATTATCTGAAACATTTTTATTAGTCCCTCCAGTGATAATACTCACTGAGAGAAATTGTTTGGCACTGTTGTTGACACCATCTGTTACTATAGCAACAGGACCACGCCCACCAAACCCTCATTTTACAGGCCCAACAACAATAACTCTATAACAAAAAATCCCATGGCTCTGAAATTTTCAGGATATCTTATGCATAGATGGATCTGTGCAATGAACCTAAATCATTTTATACAACATGATTATAACCATGTCAAATAATGAAAAACTTTCACATAAACAAATAATGGGAAAAAAATTTGCCTGCCATTGAATCATCAATTTACCTTTGCACGCCACTAGTATTGTTGTGAATTTCGCAACGACAATTTCTCGTGTTTCACAGGCTCATCAACTACGGAAGGCTAATTGCTGTTATGTACGGGGTAACAGAGAGTCCCTTATCACGCAACGATCGTTTTCCGGGCGAAAACAACTATTGGGGGATTGTTTCTTCATTGTAAACAAGATAAAAACAAACCTGTTGCCCCTGGCAACCAAAGACCTGGTCTCAAAAATGAGTAAATACTGGACAACAAATAACATTTTCATGAAAAATTAAACTGTGCCGTTAATACCAAGTGAAATACGGACCTTTTCCAGCAATAAAAATTTTTAGGTAAAACTTCGAAATTTTTGCCTTTTTTAAGGTATCATACCACCTTAAAAGATGGAGGACCTGACCGGAAATAGAGCCTGATCATTAGCCCTGCACTCTGGAATTTACTGATTTAATTTCTTCCCTGTATTTTTTCACCCAAGCTAAGCACCATACATCAGCGAGGTGAAGTATTTGTAAGTTCAATTAAAAGCAAAATGAAACACCTGACGTTTTGGTTGTGATTGTGTCTCCACGAGGACACATTTGCTGGAAAAATATATAATGTTCCACTCTGTCACAGGGTGTGTTTTGTAGGAAGAACGAAACCACCTGAAAACGACGGTTCGAGAGGTAAAAATTCCATCTAGGAAAAATGAAACCCTCATAGCAAAGGCAACAAAAAAATGAAAGGAAAGAAAGACAGAAAAGAAGACAAAGATATCAAATGAGTCTTTCCTTCCTCGACTTGACAACCGCGCGGCTTCCTGGAGGCTTGGGTCTGCATGAAAATTTGCGCATGTCCACTAGAACATAAACATAAATAATAATCAACTTGGAAAAGGGCTGACGAAAGGCGACACAACTTGGAAGAAATTTAAACCCTGTTCAAGTTCCTGGGAAAACTCCCTCTAATTTTGAAAGCTTTCTAAGCGCACAGAAATTCAGAGAGCCGCGGAATCTGGAAAATTAAGGAAAGGAGCCTTCGTGTTCGTGATGACGCATATGTGAATGGCGTAGTTGTGTTATTTCGATGTTCTTTGTGTTGCAAGGATTTAAGCTCGAATGGACATTGGTTTTGCCGAAATGGGGCTAAAAATATGAAATCCAAGTGGAAAGTGGGTATCGTGAATTATTTTTCGAAACACAGAAGGGAGGGAAGAACTTTCCGCTTTCGCTGTAACGTTTTTTGTCTTAGGAATCCGCCAAGACATACTGTCATAAGAAAGTAACGAACAAAATATGGCAGGTTTTCGGACGCAGTACACTCGATTAAATTCAAATTCAGATGATCCTGAAGAGGACTTACCTCCACAAGGTTTCGATATCGGCACCCGGGGAGTTGAGGAAGTCGAGAAAGGTAATCATGCATATTTTTCAGGATATACGTATTTGTACATCCAAGCCCACTTCGAGGCGCAATGTGGTTTGTTTACATGTACAGTTGTCACAACTGTTGGTTTTAAGGCGGGAAGGACCTGCTGTCCATACTCTGCACCAACTTTCTGATGAAAGAAACTCGAATGCAAACATGAGTATCTTGACAGCGTACTATAGGTTTTCCATGTGTGATTTTTGGGACAGTTAAAACAGGTATTATTTGAGAAAATCGAAGTATAGTTATTAATCAATAATTGAATGGGTGTCAGAAATAGAAACAGAACTTCAGGCAAACCGCTCAACATTAATAATCTCTTTATTGTTGTACTTATACCAATTTGTTGTGATCTTGGTAAGGTCTTTGTAAATAATTGTTAACTGCACCATAGTTATTGATTGGATTTTCAGACTGTTAATAATGGTAACATCTTTTTGTCTCTATATAATCTATAGAAAGTCAATTCTTAAGACAACCGCTCACCACAAAGTTACAAATATTTTACCAACATTTTGATTAATGGCATCATTATGTTTCATTTTTGCAGGGCGTTGGAATCACATTGAGAATCTTGATGAATTCTTCATACGGATATCCTTTATCTTAAATGTCACAATTATCTTATTATATTACTTTATATAGACCCACCCTTTCCATAAAAAAACGCTGATTTATTTTCTTTTGTGAGAAACCCAAGATCTCTAAGATTTACTGACCAATTCATGAAATCAAAACCAAAATAAACAAAACAGTACAGATTATAATCATAATTGATCTGATGTGATAAACGGTAAATCAAGTTTATCAAATGCAACTCCTAGAGTGCAAGACTTAGTAGGTATAATAGGATTTTAACAAGATACTTTTAGAGGCTTGAAGTTTCCTTAACTGGCCATCAAGTTGTGTGCTACTCTATTCATACTTCATTTTCTAAACAATGTTTTGCCCATCAGCTTTGAGTAGGATGTTGGCCTTTCCTTATTAAGCTCACTAGCAAGAGGCTAAGTAACGACACTGTTATTTACCCATCAGGGACCCCCCTTAAAGTAATTTTTGCTTAAAAATACAAGAGCTGATAATAAAAAGTCAAATTTGTTGTAAAATAATTTCTCTACCATAGTAGAAACAATTTGCATGTACTTTAGTTAAATCCTTAACAATTTATCACATATATGAATATCACAGGAACAATGGATTTGTTTGTATTCTCCTGAAGGAAGTCTTCGAATTAATGTGAGACACCTCTTTTTCATAACTTTTTCAATTTGAAAAGCTTCTTCATTTGATAGTGTGGATCCAAGCTATAAAACTTTAAATTTTGATTGAGTTTACTGTTTAGAAAGCCCATTTTCCAAGGGATCTCCTTCTCTTCATTTAATTTTTTTTTTTTTTGGCTTTTCATCAACCCTTAGGTTTAATGTCAGTAAGTAACAACTTTATTTAGAGAGGGCAACACATGGCAGTATGACTGAAAAACTGTGGTTGTTCTATGGCTTGGAGATGTAAAAGAGAGTAACTTTTTTGCTTTGAACGTACTGATTGTGTCATGCTTTGGATTTTTTGTTTCTTGCAGTCAATTTGTGTTTGTGGTTTTATTTACCTCTTTCTTGGTGCTTTGTGTGGATTATAACACCTTGTTTAATCACAAACAACCTTCCTTTTCAAATGTGGTGTATTTCCACAGAATAGAACAGTAAGTCCATTTATTTCTCTGTCTATTTAACTATATGTTCACACAAAGACATCGCAAACTGAAACCTAAATTAACTTAAACCAGTACAGTTTAAAATATTTAACAAATGTCGTTGTTGTTTTCATTTTTGATTGATATTTGCCACTTCTTTTGATCTAATAATATAAGATCTAAGTACAATATGTGTCTTCTTTTGCAGCATGGAGCCTGCAATAATGGCTTGTCTGGTCATTGCTTTTATTTTTTGGTTGATACGTGTGGCTAGAATTGTAATTCATTTCTTTAAGCTTCTGGAAATCCGAGCATTTTATAAGGATGCACTTAGAATATCAGAGGTGAGTTCAATTATAACCTGTTTCAATTAAGTGATATCAGGTTTTGAATGATGTCAGAATTAAATTAATTCAAACTTTCAAATGTCTCAATGTCTTTACAGAGTGAACTAACAAACCTACAGTGGCAAGATGTTCAGAAACGATTGATAGAAGTGCAAAAAGTTCATCAAATGTGTGTTCATAAGGAGGAATTGTCAGAACTTGGTATGTGTTTCCTTTTCTTTAGAGCAATGCCAGGAGACATTGGCTTGCTTACTTTATATGTTAAGTTTATGGTATGGATAAATATTTTAAACAATAGACTGCCATTTCAATTAAGGTATTATAATTTATTATAATATAGCCTTATGCATTAAAAACTGTGGAAGAATGGGAACCCCAACCCTAATTTGCAAGTGTTCTTTCAACAGTGGAAGATGTCTCCTTCATGTTTGTCTTCAGGCTCTTTTGCCCTCCCTTTCTCTCTTCCCCCCCCCCTCAAAAAAAAAGAAAAAGAAAAAGCAAAGAGATAAATGCCCTCCAGAAAATTTCTAACTGGGACAGATTCTCCTTTGTAAAAGAAACAGTAGATCAAGCACTGCTAGTAAATCATTAGATAAAGCAGCCTTTCTTTTTGTTAGAAAAAAGAAATTTTTTTGTTCAATTGGATCTCAAATATGAATTTTTTGGTGAGTTGAATGGTATGCAGTAAGATATTGTGCCTCACTTTAACATTATTTTATTAGATATCCATCACCGAATTCTGAGATGGAAAAACTACCTGCTAGCAATGCAAAACAAGTCAGTTATTTCTTGTACATACAACTTTCCATTTGTTGGGGAAAGGTGAGTAATGTGCAGCCTTTACAAAATAATTCATAAATAGGTTCTTCAGACTGCCTTTATGTTTTTTATTGACATGACATGACTTGTTTTCCTCACCCACTGTTTTCATTGGTACCCAGGGCCTTTTTGACAGAGGGTATGAAGTACAATCTGAAAATGATTTTATTCTGGGGACCAGGAAGTCCTTTTCAAAACAACTGGAAGCTAAGAGATGAATTCAGGAACCCAGCAAACAGGTTGGTGACAAACTGAGTTGCTGGAACTGTTATCAACAGTAATAATAAATAAATAATAACTTTATTTAAGTGTCAGTGTATTTTAGCACTGTTGTGCCAATTGGGGACACTGTAAATAAGGAACCAAATATCGTAAATGAACAGAAACTCGGAGGCAGACCAGTTGGCTATTTACAAAGCGTGCAGGAGTTGAATTCGGGGCCACCGAAGACAAATCCATCCAGTGGCAGGGAGGAGGACTTGAACCCGGGACCTCCGGCTTACAAGTGCAACGCCCTAACCACTAGGCCATGCTCGCCTCCTCCAGTACTTCAATGTGGTCCCTCCAAGAAATAATTGAAACCTCATTTCCCTCAATTTTTTTGTCCAGAATATCCTGTTAACTGTAACTAAGCAGGCAGTTCAGTTACACAAGATTGACTGAATTGTTTTTGGTTTATTTTTGGTTTGGAACAGAAAATATTTTCAGTTACAATAACAATGCATATAAATGTCATCTATGGGTGACAAACACACCAAAATACAAACTTGTTACAAATTAGATTTGCACTGAATATTTGATGATGGGATGTGTTGTCTTCTTTCTTGTAGGTTTCCCCTGGCAAGTCGGTAAGTGGAAGAAGAAAACTTGAAACAATTGATGGAAACCCCCATAAATTTGTGGAACACGACGTTAATTTCAAGCAGTTTGCTTACCAGTGTTGTAGTTCGTCTTAGTTCCGCACATCTCGTACCGTTGAGACTGAAGTATTTTCTTCAGAAGTCTTAAACCTCCTTGTGGATCAGGAGCCCCTTCTTTAAAAACGACCATTGAAATTGCCCACCTTAAACCAGTTTCGTTTTGTTTTTTTAAGTGTTTCATTCTTGAAATCTTTCAATCAATGACTTTCTAATAAAGACACATTTTTGGTAGTGCCTTAACAACCTAAAGTATTTTGGTATTTCCATTACCCGCATTTTAGGTTGGCAAGACGTATTTTCTGGATTGGAATAGCAAACTTTGTACTTTCCCCTTTCATCTTTATCTGGGTTATTTTATATTCCTTCTTTACTTATGCTGAGGTAAGATCAAGTTCTGCTAAAAGAGTCACTATGTAAAATATTGGTTTGTAAATTAAGAATCTTTTTAACTAGCCTGGAAATCTCTACTTTAGTGTTCGCAGTTTTGGGCAAGCTGCTGTCTGAGTTTGCCGGTTGCTCTTTCTTACTTCTTTTGGCATCATTTTATTGTAGCAATGTATTTATTGTGTACCATGGTCTTGCGTATTCCAGTTTTGACACAATTATTGACTTGAATTGTTTCTTTAATCTGAAGATGGTGAAAAGGGAACCTGATACGTTTGGTGCCCGCAGATGGTAAGAAGTACAGATTGCAGCTTTAATTGAAAGGCATCGATTTATTTAAGAACGAGGAACGTTAAAAATAAACTATGCTGTCAAGTTAGTGTGCATGTTCATGTTTCCTTCCAGCCCAGTTACATTTGCTTGCGCCACTAGTAACTGGGAAGGATTGCTGAAAAGAATAGATAGCTTCTCCTTTTCAAAATTTCGCTACTAAGAGCCGAGTGGACTGGAGAGAGCTTCAGGAATCAATCGAGTTTTATTTCTCAATTGATAAAATATACTACGCTGTATTTCCATTTCAGGTCATCTTACGGCAAGCTGTTTTTTCGACATTTTAATGAATTGGACCACGAGATACAGACGAGGTAACTGTAAGAGAACGATACACCTTGAGTATGGTTTTACACAGCAGTTTGTAATAATTTTATTTCCATTACGGCGAGGCACATTTAACCTAGGAAGAGAAAATAAGACAACGGTAACAAGATCTATGGGTTTTCTCACTGAGAAATTAAATTTCAACACTCCACCCTTAGACTTGCGTTTACAAGAGACGTCAAGGTGAGGTAGCAAGACAGAAGAACATGTCTAACATCAAAAATACTTAGATACTAACTTTGTTCGTGCTCTCTAGGTTAAGTAAGGCTTACGAACCAGCGTCCAAGTATATGAATCTTTTCGTGTCACCTTTTATGGCCATCATAGCCAAGTAAGTCTTTCGAATTTTATGTTTAACCCCAAGCCTATAGTTCGAATACCATTTTTACCTTGTTTGAAACCGTTCATTCAATCTGGTAGGAACATGGCATTTTTCGCTGGCGCGATTTTTGCCATATTGACCATATTTACTGTCCTGGACAAGGATGTTCTTTTGGCGGAACATGTGCTAACTGTTATAGCAACACTAGGTAAGCAACTTTCATTTCGATGCAATCGAGTCACTTTATTAATGTTGACTCTTCAGTTTCCATTGCATAGCGGAAATGTCTTAGAGCCAATTGACATACTTTTATACTCTCGGCCTGGCTCCAGAAAGGCACCGTCTTTAATTTCAGCTATCCATACAAAAGTTTGAGAGTTTTTGCAAACATTCTGTTGCCTTGCTTTTCATTTTTTTCAGGATTAATGATAAGAGGATGTTACGTTTTTATCCCTGACGAGGTTGGTATATGATTCATTTCTTAGGCCATTAACTTAATATGCTCAACGTTCTATTTTTCTTTTGTTCATGAGTGGTTTACAAAATTTTGGACCAAGTTAGCCTCAAGTTAGAAAATTATAAATCAATTAACAGTCAACGTCTGTTAAAAAAGTTGTAGCTACTTCAACACTTCAGATCTGTTACCAATCAGAAGTTAACTCGAAACCAAACACATGCTAAGCGCGGGAAACACGTAACCGGCTCGGAACGATGAAGTTTTCAACTGAGGTTTTCATCAGTAACAGTAATCAGTTATATACACTTACTCCACAATATACCCAAGCAAAATGGAAAAATATGAATTTTTTGCATACCTTTGATATTGTTGCAGAACACTGTGTGGGACCCTGAACAACTGTTAAAACAAATTGTGTCTCATACTCATTATATACCTGACTCGTGGAGAGGCAAGGCGCATACCAGCGAGGTTTGTACAACGTTTTGTTTTTGCTTTATAACGATGCAAAGCTGATATATCTTCTGGTTATTCCGTAGTTCAGGGTTCTAATTGTCTCACAGTCAGTCTGTTGAACTATATTTCAGGTGAGGCAAAAGTTTTCCCAGGTGTTCCAGTATAAAGCGGTAAGTTACTGTAGTCGTCTGCAGGTTGCTGGCGCTTTCATTATCATCCAGTTAAGATGATCCACTGACATAAACGCACAGAATTCTTCTTTGGGAAAAAGAATGATGTCGGGAAATTTTTGCATTATTCTTAAGAGGAAAAAGAACTTAACGTACTTTCTTCCTTACTTTCGTAAACTGAAGACAATTGTGCGTGAGTTTTACTTTTAAATACGTCAGACTTGTTCAAGTAACTAGTTAATTTGCTGTCGTTCTCGTTGCAGGAATATGTACTTCAAGAGCTGTTAAGCCCTATTGTTACACCGTTCCTTCTGTGTTTCCACTTGCGGTACAAGTCTCTGGATATTGTGGATTTCTTTAGGAATTTTACTGTTGATGTTGTTGGTGTCGGAGATGTTTGCTCGTTTGCTCAAATGGATGTTAAGAGACATGGAAACCCAGAGGTGAATATTTGTCCATATTCTCAGACTGGTTAACAATCTTTGATATATCTGAGAGAGTCTATTCTATTTTATTGCCTGTAAAGCTGTGCTTATTGTTTCTGTAAAATTTCAGTGGCTTACCCAGGGATTAACGGAAGCAACACAGTATGAACAGGCCGAACATGGCAAAACGGAACTGTCGCTTGTGCAATTTTCAGTAAGTTTTTCTTGGTTTTTTTCGGGGAATTTTTTGAACGTCAATATTTGTCGTTACATTCATCAACAAACTCTGTTCCTTGATGTTGTTGTTTTGCAGATAAGGAACCCTACATGGAAGCCATCAGAGCAAGGCACTCAGTTCATTAGCACCATTCGGGAAAACGGTTCGTGTGAAAAAAATTCGCAAGTTTCAGAATAGGTTTCAAGAAAATGACTCATGGTGGGGTGATAGTTTCCATCGATAAGAATTTGCATAATTTATTCTAACTTTGTTCATCAAGTAACAATTTACTAGTGTGTCCGCTTCCCCTGCATACTCGCAACCCACCCACCCACCCACCACCCCCCCCCCCTCAGTTTGATAGGATAGAAAATGATAGAGAAGGAAGGTACAATAGAAACACTAGGTCAGGCCGTTCACATCATAAGCAAGCCAGTCAGTGGCAGTGTTTTGATTTGTTGTTCTTCAGTGTTTTATTGTTATACTAAACAGGTGTTGTGAAGTTAAACTTTTTGAAATACGTAGTACTTAGTATGAAAATTCTTCTGATGTTTTCACTGCAGCGGTCCAAGAAGGTCTCAACCTGAGCTGCAGCGGTGTAATGTCGGACGCCAACTCACTTCCAGATTTAAGATCAGGCAGTGTAAGTGCTGTTTTGCTTTTGACAAACCAAGATCAAGTGCTACATGATTACGTACGTATTCATGAAGAGTTTTTTTTTTCTCTCACTGTTTACACAGTTTCAAGCGCTACCATATATGAACTCCATGACCCTCAGCGATCCGTCCCTCATTCCTCTAGGGAGTGCTGCTGTCACACCAAAACAGCAGGCCCAAGCAAGAGAGATGCTCATGAACTCTAGCATGATGTACATGCATCAGGTAAAGAGAATTTACTCGCAGATTGGTTAAAAAAAAAAACCCTAAGATTTGGTAATGACATGCTTTGAGAGTGCGTGGTATCTTTGTGTCACTGATCCCGTTTCCTCGATGACCTCTCAACCTTAAAATTCTTTCACTTTCAAATAAGCCACTCAAATTCCCTTATACGAATTTTAGGGTGGCGTCATGTTCTGTCGCCTATAGCATGGCGATTAAAATGTACTTTAAATAAATACAGTTATGCTTATTTAACACGAATTTCTCACCTGCTTCAGCTGCGAGATCGTCAAGCTGATCAACCGCCCGGCGGGGCAGCTCGTGTTGCCTCCTTGACGTCAGCAGACAGACAACAACCGGGGACATCTGGGCAGCATTTTGCAGAAGACGGCAAAACTGAACAAATTAGGTGTGCAAACAATTGCAACAAAATCAAAGTTAAATTAAGCATCACTCTTGTCTAATATACTCGAATGTATTTTGAAAACCATAATTGGCCATAGATGAACTCGCAAGTTTGCAGCACTTTTGTGAAACAGCCAACTCACGCCGTAGCTTGACTGTATGAACCGTTAGTATGGTGAATGGTAGCGCTGTCAGTCCTATTTTTTACTTTATTTAATAATGGATTTAAAATAAAGCGATACCGTAATAAGTAGATCAGTGTAGGCGTGCGTTTTTACACGATTCATAAACAGTGATTAGTTTTAATAACAGAATTGTTTGGCTCTTTTCTTTTTGCAGAGACGATGCCCACATGGTGTGATAATGAAGGATTTTATTAAAAGAAGAAACTGTTGATGAGCTTGAAAGTCAAGTCCTAAGGGGGGATGGATGAGGATTAAAACAAATACAAAGCTGTGAACTCCCCAGTCCATCGGGTTTTTTCTTATCCTTTATCCGATTTTTTTTGCAAATAAGGCGGTTTTGTTTATATCAGTTTGCTGCTAAGCGAACACCGTCGAATATCTTCCTACTCTTAGTGTAATCTTTGCATAATTTTCTTTGCTTTACAAGTTTGGACAATTTTACTCAGTATATCGTCGAAAGGTGGTCAAAATATGTTTCATAGGTGTTTCAAACAAATTTAATGTGTGGTGTGCACGTGTATCAGTCAGGGTTAAGTTATTTAGCGTGGTGTAAAACTGAACTGTTGTATAATTCATTTTAATCGCACGGTGGCACTCTAATGGCTATGATCGTTATTTAATATTGTGTTAATTGGCATACCAAGCAAAATAAAGTAGTTTATTTTTTGTAAACAGTTGTGATTCTCTCTTGTCCTAGTTTGTGTATCTTACGCGCAACTCCAACTTATTATACACCTTCTAGGACACTAATTTGAGGTTTAAAGTTCAAGGCAAGTGCAAAAACCGCTTTGAATTCACAAAATACCTCTCTGAGCAGGGTTAGTAACCTTGATTTGAAAGATACAGAAGGTGTGTCGTTTTTCAATGTTGGTTTCAATTGTAATCTGATCGTTTGGTTGAGGGAAGTCCTAACAATGTAAAGGGAAGTAATTAGGCATTTGACTCTGATAGTGACTTCCGCTCAGGATGTCAAAACGTCAGTCAATATTACTGATAACAGTCCTTTCTGGAACTATTTTTGCGCGGAAGATCCAACTACTCCATCTACTGTTAATCCTGACTTTAAAATCTCTCTGGTAAGTTTCGAAAACGCTAGCAAAGTCACCATTACAGTCAAACGAGTCCTTTGACGCTAATGATGACTTCCAAGCTGGTTCTAGACGGTGGAATGGGCATCAACATTAGTTCCGTCATGGAGGACTGGAGATGATAATTTAGTCCGCATCTTGATTTTCGTCTGCCATGTCCCTAAACAACCACGCATTAAGAGTAGGCGCTAACTTGTGACTATAGAAGGGATGTGATTGTTGAAAATGAAAAATACTGGGCCGTTTCTTCCTTCTTCTCTCTTTTCCTTCTTCCCTATTCTTCCTTTAGTTTGCTTCTAAGGCACTCAGGGTCTGAGGTTTCTGAACTTCTCTCCCTTGGATAATGTGATCGTGTAAGCATACAAATAGACATACAGGAGTACAACTCATCAAAATTTTATTCCTCAAGTCACTTATGTTCCACACAAACCAAATAGACAAGCTGACCAGGTGATCAATAGTTACTTTCTTCAGCCTTACTACTGTGTTTCTTGATTTTATATCCGCATGAGATTTCAATACATAATCTAATTTAACAAAAGCGACTTCCTTGGATTTTGCTTCCTATATGTAGAAATACTGGTATTAATGTAAATCTTTATAGCTAGGTTTTAAATACCTTCTAATTATAAAAATACAAAATTGAACTTTCATTAATGGACTTGATATGTTCTCTTAAGATTTGGCAGCTGTGAAGTTCAGGAGAACATGACAACCATCATTTCTATTTTAAAAAAGTTTTGGTTGTATCAAAATTTCACAATTAGAACTATATTACGTCAAGATACTCTTGAGTTATCTAGGATCCTCTAGACTTTCATCTGATTCCATTCTATAAAATAAGCATTTTCAGGAATGTTTCCTGCCAGGGAAACAGCAGTGCTACATCTGAACTAATCCAGAGTTTTCGTCATCATCATCCTCAACATCATGGTAAAAATCATCCTCAAGCATCTTGAGTCTTGAGTAGCCGTAGTCTTCAAAGCGAATTGCTTGCCTTCTCTTCATGCGCCTGTAAAAGTAGTTTCCAACAATTGCAGCTCCAGCAGAACAGATCAGCACAGCAATAACAACACCTGCAATCTGCTTCCCTTCCAATGAATTTTTTGCCAGAGGTGAGGTGGGATTTCCTGAAGGTGTTAATGAGCACTAAAACAAAACAATACAAAGAATGTCAACTTGGACACTTTGAGAATCTGATTATCAGAGTTCCCAGCTAACATTTTTTCCAAAGTTGCCATTCTGATGACCTAAAATCATAACAAATGGTTTAATTGCACCCCTAAAGGATAAATCTCACCTTGGGATTTGCTGTGCATGCTGGTGGCATTTTGTATAAGTTACACCTCTTCCCATCTTTTACAAAAACCCCATAACTGTTGCTCCTTGGTTTGATTCTGTAAAGAAGAATATTGTCAGTGATATGCACAATAATCACTTCACCAAGTAAAATCCTTGGCAAACTACAAAGTCTGCAAGTAAACAGTTCAAAAATTTCAACAAGACTTTTATTGATAATTATTTTAGATAACAATGGAATAAATGTAAAAACAACAAAAAAATATACCTGTGGAAGAGAAATGATTCAATAATAAATAAACAACAAAAGTATATTACTAAAAATGCAAAACCAGTGCAATTCAACATTTTGTACATATAGCTGGTTAACATCCACATCAAAAACAGTCCATGCTGAGGTTGTGCATGTCAGCAAAGCAGAAAGCATAGTCTTAGAATCCAGCAGTCTTGTGTGCAGAGGGTTAATAGTAAAAACAAATTAGTGCAGACTGACTTATTCTTTCATTTTACTGGCTCTCATAACCTTAACATTGACTCCAACTAATATTAATACTTGTGATATAACTACACCAACCTGTAGCAATCCATGATGTTCAAAACTGACCCAACACAGCAGCCAAGGGTGTTATAAAAGTTCCCCACATCCTAGATGGAAAATAATGTTTGTTAATTTTAACACCCAAATTACTCATCAGTTGACAGAAATTCAGGGAGATAACTAAATTTCAATACTTTATTTTCTCTAACATAAACAGAACCCATCAGCAAATAGTGTACCTTATGACACTGGCTTGAACACATATTTTCCTTCAAGTTTTGGGGAACATTACAAATCTGTTTGAAAATGCAGAAAAATAAGGTATCAGTTTCCAGAAAGCAATCCATAAAAACTAAATGTGTATTTTTACCTATGATATATCTAAAAAAATATGGTTAGACATACGTGAAAGTTATAATTATGATCATCACATGTCATTGCAAGTGTGAACCTCAGTGAACTATTGGCACATTTCTTTGTAAACAACTCCCGGTAGTCAAAGTTTAATTGTCAAGGCAACATCTACATCTTGTAGATATTCCAGGATTCATTTTTAATTCCATTTGAAACAACTGGCACTGAAGAATGTTTGACTATTTACTTGTTGGTGGAGGGGGATAAAGGGGCCACAGCCCAGGAGAACAAGGAAGGGAGAGAAAGGACAGTGGGAGGGCAGGAAACAAGAGTAGAAGTTGAAAAGGCAATAGTTTGTTGTTTATTAATGCTTACAACAACAACAACATTTGAGTGCATGGACAAGCCAACATTATACTAGTGTATAAATGTATCAGAGAATATGTGTAAAATATTCAAACCTTTCTGAAGAAGTTTATAAAAGATTTTGACTTGCTGAAGAAATCTGAATACCAGTAGTTTTAAAATTTGATAAAAAAAATTGAATTATAGTGTAACTTTCTACAAGCACTTAAACTGGACATTAGATCCCATTTTCAACTGGAATATTTATCTCAAATTTGTCTACTATTTTAGTTGTCTTCACTTTCTTAGATTCACTGTATCTGAAATAGCAGAAAAGTAAAGTGAGTGTTCATAATTTTTTAAGGGAAAATTATTTAAATCTGTGTTACCTGGAGTGAACTTCCTGTTTCATTCTTCAGTAGCCCATTAATGAAGTTATTAGCACATGAAGAAATTCCATCCTGCTGACAGAGAGACTTGAGAACTTCATTCACAAACAGGATGTACTTTTGGTCATCCTCCTATGCAAGATACAAACAAATCAGCAAATGTTCAGGTATGACGAAGCCACAAAACATTATTGCCCAACAAACTGATATTTAAAACTGATAACCTTCTGAGAAATTCAAAAAGAGTGTGTAAGATAAACAAGAAAAATCTTTAAAATTTTCACCTATTCTAGCCGTCTGTATTATTGGATAAATGGTGCTACAATTTCCATATTTCATTTCAACTCCTGATCTGTGACAACCATGATACTCTCATGTGGTCAAAAGAGGCGTACGTAGCTCAAATGCAGATATTTCCTACTTCCTTAGTCTCAGCCGACTATAACATAAATTATTGCCACCACATTACCTTTATCATTGATTTTCCTGTCAAGATGCACTTCTTAGTGATAAGCTGCATAGTTTTCCAACAGTGATTTTTGCACAAATTTTCCACTGTAGTCTGCACTTTCCTAAGCCATGTTCTGAATTCAGGGTGTGAATTCATTGTGTAATTATGTAAACAATTATAACTGCTTCTGGGACATATGTTTGACAAATTCTGAAGCTTCTCATCGTGCAGACTCGAAGCAATCGTTCTGCAGTTGTCATAGGCCTCTTTTTGATCTGTACAGTTGCTAGAGTCTGGTGAAGTATTCAAGATGAGATCGCTTCGAAAAATTATTCCATACGGCTCAAAAAAGAAATTGTAGATTTTCAGTTTTTCTAAAGAATACAAAGCAGTTCCTGGGTTGCAGATGCAAAATTGGAAAACAAATCCCACAAAAATGAAATTCTTCATGTTAAATAAACAGCATATGTCCTATGCAGGCTAAATTACGCCGTCGTCCGCCATTTTGTTTTTACGTGTCATTTAACCAGCGGTTTACCATTCAGTACCAGGTTTTCCAAGAACGTGTGCGGTGAAGATGGCGGACGAACTTACACATCTTTGCTAATAAGATGGAACATTTCAAAGGCAAGAGAGATATTCAGGCAAGTCTATTCCATTTGACTGTAACTTCTATCACTTTTAATTTTAATCGAGAGTTCTTTCTTTTTTCTTTTAAAATTTGTTTCCCGTTATATTTTACACTCGCACAACAACTTATTTTCACCGGTTTTTCTCAAAATTATAGCATCTTTAAATGATTTTAAGAGAAGTGATTTATGGCACACTGAGATTTAGTTTCTGATTTCCCGACAGGTCCAAGGAACAAATGATCGTGCTACTCTAAGCAAGTTCTCAACCGTAACACATGGATACTATGAAGATAAGTTCTTACAGTATTTTGTCTCCAAGACTGCTAGAAGAGCACCGATTATTCATTGGTCAGTAATTGAGGGTTTTTCTTCTAACTACCTGACCTAGACTAATACAAATGATTGAATTTCAATTGATGATTAATAGGGCCTGATAGGTTCTAGGTATCAACTGTCTTTGCTCACTTGGCCAGTGGAGATAATCGCATATCGAAGTAAAAAATACATATATTTCCATGGAAGAAAGCTAACTTGACTCCCTTGAATGGTCAATTTTTCTTGTTATTGTACATTTGTATCAAAAATTAGCTCACATGATGTAATGTGAAAATGATTGATTGGTATTGGCTAATCAATAAATGTTATGGAAAAGAAAATTAACTTTTTCCAGGATATATTGTCACAGAATACTTAAAGTGTACATATAAATTCTGGTATGTGTTCAAATGCAGGTCATATTATATAAGGGCAAAGGCAATACAGTACATGGTAAAGGGCTTTTTACAGAGCCTGAGGCTGAAAAAATGTGCATACAAACAGGTACTTGACATGAATTACAAATGATTTTGTGAACTAAGAAAAATAAGGAATTTTGTTGATATTTGACATCAGCCCCAAAGTTAGTTGTAGTGGCAACTATACACCAAGATAATTTTGCCTTTCTTAAGTTTTTTTTCAAAGAAGTAGCCTAATTTATTAGTTGCTTCAATAATAGCAATTATATTGATATTCTGTATTTATATATTGATATTCATTCAGAATCTGTTGATTTATTTAAATGTAACTTACCATAAGAATGAAGCATAATGATACACTCAAAAAATATATACCCAAAATAGGTGAAATTTTCAGCAGCTGGATTGAATTAAGCAAGTAGAGAATATTTTGATTATGAGGTAGTCTTAATCTTATGGTTGTGTGTTATTCCTCTATTTTAGATTGTTTCTGTAGGGGCTGGATTTGACACACTTTTCTTCTCACTTTCCAGTGAAGCATTTCTAAAAGACACAAAATATTTTGAGGTAAATTTTTTTTCAGTATTACATAACAGATCTCTTGTTTGTTGACATTTCTCAGATTTGGCAATTTTTTTTCTGATTCATAGATTGACTTCCCAGAGGTTGCTAAACAGAAAGCTAGTTTGATTCTTCAGCACAAAGAATTATTTCAAGGAATCGGAAAAATTTTAACAGAAAATAAACAGTGGCTTGGAGGAGGTCAGTCACTGGGAATATCTCTCCTCTTTCCTTTATTATCCCTCCCTGTTTTTTCTTTTTCTTTACTTTACTCTGTTTCTCTCATATTAATGTACATTTGTGTGTACTATTCTGTCAATTTAGAGATACAACAAGTAGTAGTCTTTTAATTGTTTGTCTGAACACCATTAGCCATGCAATTTTGTAGCAAATTACCAACTAAATACATTTTATTCATTTCTGATTTCCAGGTGTTGATGGTGAAAAATATACGCTTCTGGGATGTAACCTAAAAAATCGTTCAATGCTTGAAAATTGTCTATTGAAATGTGGACTTGACACATCACTTCCTACTTTATTATTGTCAGAAGTTGTACTGACATATATGGACCCACCAGAGAGGTATTCTCCTGAGCTCTGTTTATGGTACATAAGTAATTTGACCGGTGAATTTTTGTAGCATCACACCAACTGAAAGCACTAGCTGTTTTGTGGACCTTAAAAATATCAGGGAGATATGATTGTGTTAAATATAATTATATGGATTTTGACAAATTAGGAAGGAAGATGATTAAAAACTCTTTATTAAGTTTAAAAGTATTAGAAGCTCAGGAAACAGACTCTGAGAGGAGGAATTTTAATTTTACTGGAGAAGCTTCCATTCCAGTTGTTAACATAGGTGATGTGCATGTGTTTGCATGCAAAAGAAGTTGACTTATCTTATTACAATGTAAGAAAACTATGAAACTGACCAATCATGACTGACCTATGCCACTTGAGTCTTACAGCCAACAACATCACGGCAAAACTAACCAATCAGTTTATACAAACCGGACTAAGTACATTCTACTGACAGCAACCTTTCACTTGACTCTGATGATGACTTCCGGTCAGGTTGTTGAAAGTTCAGTCACCATTATCAACAATAGTCCTTCTCAGGACTACACTCACCTGGACGATCAAATGACACTATTAAATGTTACCCCCGGGTTCAAAGCACGTACTGTAAAACTATGAATGTTGTTTTTTGTTTGGTTGGTTTGTTTTGATGAAAGGGCTGGAGGTCTTATAATTCAATGTGAGAAGTGTATCTTAGTAATTTGGTAGATGTGTTATGATTATTATCTGTTATGGTTTTCTTTAATATTGTCAAAAAGGTGGTACAAGCTTTGTTATCTCTAACAATCAAGGAGGCAAAGCCAAATCACCAAATTAACCTTTTTTGGCACTTGATAAGAAATTTTCCTGACCAACATAGTTATTTTTATTATTTTTAATTTATTTCTGTTTTAGTTCCACGGCCATAATTGGATGGGCAGCAGATTTCTTTAAATCTGCCATGTTTGTAATGTTTGAGCAGGTAGGGAATGAAGTGTTTTGCATCTTTAATGCCAGCAGGGGTTGGGAAAATGTGGTAAAGGATACAGAAAGAGGAAAGCAGGGTCATTATCCTGTGATCATTATAACTGTTCTGTCCTATGGATATGTGGGTACAAAAACTACACTAATGCAAGTGGTTTATTACGTAGGTATCCCCTCATGATCCCTTTGGAATAAAAATGTAAGTACTGTACATTTTTGTAACTTCTGATTTATTCTTAGCTCAATTATGTGGCAAGTGCGGCTTGTTGTCTTCTATTTCCATAAGACCTAATTATTTGACATGACTGGTGTTTAAAAATAAAGCAGAAGAAGTAATTGAATTATAAACAAAAAAGTCTTTGAAGCAATTCTATGATTCTGTATCTGTCAAGATATTAGTTTCTGCATTTTAGTACATTTATGTAAGCCTCCCGGAATCTCCTCCTTTGCAAACCATATATCAAAGGATTGACAGCACAATTCGCTGCTCCCGTGAACGGCATAATGAGATAAACTTGACGAGAAAGCTTGTACTGGCCTTGAAATATGTCGAGAAATTCAATTATAAAAGCTGGAGTCCAACATATTACGAAAGCGATCAGCACGGTGAAGAGAATTTTCGTGATTTTCACTTCCTCTGCGTATGATTTCTCATGGTTTACGTGGATATTTGAAGGTGCAATCTGCGAGAAATGTAGATGAACTTTGCGGAACACTTTGTAATAACAAAATGCAATGACTGGATAAGTCATGGTGATTATTACAGTGTATGGTACGATGAGAACTGCTTGATTTTCACTGTCTTGACTCTTACAAGCGAAACACGCGCATTTTCCGGGATGGAAACAGAATCGTTGGGAAACAAATGGAACTATAAATATTCCAGAAAAGATTGCACAAAACGCGATAGAAATAAGAACTTTGCTTTTTGTGTAAAACCTCTGGTAAATAATCACGGACTGCATCATTTTTATGTAACGATTGACCGCTATGAGTGTCATGGTTATTAAAGAAAAACATGCAAAGTAGTATGTTAGACTGCCTTGAATCTGACAAATCACGTCTCCAAATGGCCATCTTCCTAGAATCACCACAGTTAACCCCAGAGGAAGACAGAGAATCGTTGACAGCAAGTCTGATGCAGCCAATGCAATTATGTAGTAGTTCTGGATACGGCGGAGCGCATAAGTTCTGTAAAATGCCAAACACAGAGTTATGTTTCCCATCAGTGCCAATATTGCGATAATGAAGGCTGAAGTTGTTTCAAAAATAACTGTCCCTATCTGTCTGTCTCTAAGTGATTCCTCAAGAATTGTTTTCCTGTCTGAAGAGATATTCATTCTGTTGAAAGTCAAAAGATTCCTTTAAAAACTTTCTTTAAGGTGCAGTGCATAATATCCAATGCCCCATTATAGTTTACTTACGGTTTTAGTGAAATTTAATGTAGCCTCTTCTCAACTTGACACTTAATTGTAAATTTGGCTAAGTTTTTAATTTAAATGTCCTTTTCATGACACCCTTATCAGACATATTTAGACACCTGTCTGGGGTTGAAATAACTTGCATACAAGCCTCTAGTCAAACCGGTAAATTTTAAAATGAATAAGCGTTGTTTTGAAGGAGGAATTAAATGTGGCACTTCATGAATTAAATGGACCATTTCAGCTGATAGCTATTTCTGACCCATTGATGCAAGCGCGCTTAGAAAGTTGAAACAATTCCGTATTTTATCAACAATTGACGGGGAATTTTTCTTTTGTTTCTATCCTGGTAGAGGTGAAAAAAAAAACAAGACGTGGATGGGCAATAATATACATAGGAAAAAGCCTCGTGCGAAGCGTTGTTAAAGCCTGTACCTTGTAGATATTATTCCTGTCATCCGACTCGGTAAATATCCACCACTATTCCTCTCCCCTTCGGTGAATAATCGGCAATCATTATTAAGGGCTGCCATGTTTGATAAATATTTGGTTTGTGAGATTCTTTAATCGCCATCAATATAGCTATGGAGCGAATTTTTTAAGATGCAATTTAT